TAAATTCCAGAGAGCACGGAATAAATCCCTCATCCACTCATTCAACAAATGCAGCCTGGTACTGTCTGGCCCTTGTTGGCATCTTGCTGTTCCCACTAGCATGTCAGGGTTGGTGCAGATAGGACAGAGTCTGGTGCTGACAGAAAGAGCCAGTGAAGAGAGGTGAGGTGAGGACTCTGAAGAAGCCATGCCTTCAAGACCTTGACTTTCCCTTGGCCCAGGAGCCTCCACAGGAGACAGAGGATTACGTGGACCCGACTCAAGCTCAGGGAAATGCCCCGTGTTTATGCTGGCTCTGAAGCTGCAGGAGAGGGGTCTGAGGAGTCAAAGGACCTTCTCAGCAGCTCAACACAGGGAGAAGCACTAGGCCAGGGCAAAGGCTTAGCTACCATGGGAACTAGACGCTCCCACACGAGTCAGGCCTGTTCCTGGCCACAGACCTCATCCTAGATGGTTACAACTGCCTAGAGACAAAAAGCAAGAATCATAATATCTGGACATGGGAACAACCCGAATGCCCAAGGACTGATGAACACACTCGAAATATGATGTGTCTATTGTCAAGACAACCCAGCCATGAGTAGGGACATAGGATGGATACGTGCTGCAACATACAAACACGCAGGAACCAAGGCAAAGCAGCAGCCACAGGACAGGAAGTCATTGCTACGGCAGTCCTAGGGAGGAAAGGATGTTGAGGTGGGAAGCAGCTCATTGGCTGCTCGGTTGGAAGGGAAACAGCGAATAAGGTAGCGGTCACCAGTGGGCAGGAGGCTACCTCTGAGGGGGCGAGAATGTTCTTCAATTGATGGTTGCCCACGCCCATGAAAACACAAAAGCCATGACCTGTTCGTTCCAAGTGGGGCTGTGCTCCGTGTGAGTTACACCTTAGGAAAGCTGTTTTGAAATGAGCATCAGGGGAAAGGGGCCTCTGAGATGAAGCAGAAAGGCTGAGGTCAGAAACAAAGGCCAGACGGTGCTATCCTGGCTGCTCCCCAACTCGCAGACTGCATCTCCCACAGCTAGTGCTGTGGGAGTCCCCAAGCCATGCCTGTGGAAGATAAATTGACCCCTCAAGGTCTGGGGCTGGGTCCCTTCTTCCCTGACAGCTCCCTTTCTGTGTTTTTTCTGGCGCAAGAAACACGCTGTCTTCTTGTATAAATAGGGGGATTGATGGCAATTTCCCTTTCTCCTTCCTGGTGGGCTAAGAGATGGGGCCCAGGGGAAGAAGGAGCCCTGGCTTCCAGATAGAAATATGCAGAGACTAGAGAGGGACGGAGCCTGCTCTGGCTCTGGCCCTACCTTCCTAGCACTTGAACATATGGTAACAAGGGGATGGCAGAGAGATCCACACCACTCCTCCTCAGGGCAGATGGCCAACAGAGGAGCTGGGAGGCCAAATGCAGACTGTCTTCCCAAGCTCTAGCCAAGGAAACACAGACACCACCCTACTTCATTCTAGGTGATCCAGGCTGTCTGGAGACAGGAAAGAGAGAATCACAGCTATTGGAGGTCTGGACCAGTTGCTGCTGTTTGGTTCTTTTGCATTGCATGTCAGTGCCCGCACGCCTACCCCCTTTTCTTTAGTAAAGCCTTACACAGCACCCCAGCATGTAAAGTGAATGTCCCCTGTGATTCTTGATGGAAATACAGGGATTCCTGGGCCCATGTGGTTAACTGTCAGGGGATGACCTAGTCCAGGTTGCCCTCCAAGATTCCCTCCAGTTCTGCCCTAAGGAGTGGATTTGACCCAAGGTGAAGAGTGTGCCCTGACATGATGGTACACATCTGTACTAGTAATACCAGCACTTGAGAATTTGAGTCAGGAGGATTATGTATTCAAGGCTAGCCCAGACTACATATCAATACCCCTCAAAGATTACCAGGCCTGAGGGCTCACAACTCCAATTTCATCATTTGGGAGGCTGGGCCGGGGGAACTGAGGCAAAGGCGAAGTCAGCCTGGGCTGCATAGTGAGCTGCAGGCCAGCTCCTGCTACAGCATTGACTCTATCTCAAAACACCAAAGCCAAAGAAAAACCCAAATAAAAAGTGTAAATCAGTCTGCTACCTGAGGTGTTCATTGGCACATCACGTCTTTCTTTAAACCTTACCTGTAAGTTGAAAAGTATAATACTTTCTCAGAGGGTTGTGGGGAAGACTATACAGGCTTAGACCTTCAGCCTGGTCTCGGGCTCAACAAAGGACATCATTATCATAATCCCACCTTGGGTGTGATCCTCAACATGGTTCAAGTCAGGGATGTGTTATGAGAAAGGGTATAGGAAAGCTAATCAAGAAAGGCCCCATGGGGGCTGGAGAGATGGCTCAGAGGTTAAGAGCACTGGCTGCTCTTGCAGAGGTTCTGAGTTCAATTCCCAGCAACCACATGGTGGCTCACAACCATCTGTAATGAGATCTGGTGCCCAATTCTGGCCTGCAGAGATACATGTTGACAGAGCACTGTATACATAATAAATAAATAAATAGATAATTATTAAAAAAAAAAAAAAGGCCCCAGCAGCAGCCTAGGAAACAGTATCTGTCATGGAAATGACTGCAGTTTTCCTAGCCCCTGTTCTCCACCACACTACCCCCATCTACCAAGACTCTTCACAGCTCTGCTTTACAGCATGATAAAGGGGGACACTAAGAACCCCCCCATCTCACATCCCCAGGGAAGGCCCAGCAGTGGCCAAGCTAGACAGCCAGACATAAAATCCTGCCTGCTCCCCCGCCCTGTTTCCCATCACTCATCTGGGAATCCTGGGTGAGGGAGGGAGCTAAAGTGCAGAGTGTTCATTTAATATTAACAAATTGAAATGAATTCTTTTAATGCCAATTAGCTTGGAGCGGCCCCTTATTAATAGTAATTTAGATTCATACTTGGAGAAGCGGATGGGGGCTGGGCCATATGTGCCCAGAATGTCAATGTGACAATGGGGCTGGGACCAGAGGGAAGCAGCTCTTCCTCTGCCCAGAGAGAGGAACAGATACAGTCACCCCAAGGCCATCTTCCCAGAGTGAGCTACTCTTACAGTTTTATTTTTGTAGACTCAGTAATTCTGAATAGACAAACTCTAGACACACACTCCAGTCATTTACCTTCTTAGAAACAATTTTAAAAAGGAAGGATTAGCCAGGAGTCACAGTGCACGCCTTTAATCCCAGCACTTGGAAGGTAGAGGCAGAAGGATCTCTCTGAGTTCAAGGCCAACCTGGTCTACTTAGTGAGTGCTAGGCTAGACAGAGCTACATAGTAAGACCCTGTCTCAAAAACAAACGAAAGGGGTATTGCCACCCCTGTAGACCCCAGCTTGACCAATAGTAAAGTGAGAAGAAACATCATGTTCCTCTTCTGGACCCCCCAGGAGGTAAAAGGCCCAGCAGGCTGAAATGAAACTGGCTTACATGTTTCTAAAACTTAAGGGAAAAAGCAAGAATTGAAAACTCAACTCTTGTACCTAAGAGTTGCCCAGAATAGACAAGTGGAAAGAACTTCTACCTAAAATGAAAAGTTGGGGATCATTCTGATCTTCCTATGTCCACTGACTTTGGAAGCAGAAGAGGTGTCCCCAGGTGGAGTACTGCAGAAATAGAACAGTTGCTTCTTCCTCCCGGGCATCCCTCTGAGGGCTGAGGAGGGGTGATTTAAATGCTGAGAGTTCTGGAAGGTGTGGTTTCTGAGATGGAGAAGGCTAGCGTGGAAAGGGGGCTGGGGCAAAGGGAGACATGGGCAAGATGGTGAAGCTTAGAAAATAAAAACAAAACCAGCTTAGTATACAAAGGAGCAGATAGAGGCCAGGTTTCTTTTTTTTATTTCTTTCTTTATTTATTTGTGGTTTTTCGAGACAGAGTTTCTCTGTAGCTTTGGAGTCTGTCCTGGAACTAGCTTTCGTAGACCAGGCTGGCCTTGAACTCACAGAGATCTACCTACCTCTGCCTCCCAAGTGCTGGGATTAAAGGTGTGCACCACCACCGCTGCTGCTGCTGCTGCCACCACCACCCAGAGAGGTCAGGTTTCTTAAACTGAAGTGAATACATAAGAATCAAGGCAAAATAAAAGGGGAAAGAATGTGTTAAGTATTCCATATTGTTCTTCCCACAGGGGGATTGGAACTGATCAAAGGAGAGCTTGTTCACACACTCAAACAATAAAGTCGTTTCCAAACAAGAAAAGGTACCAGGACAAAACTAAATGCCAGTCCACCTGGAATTAAAAAAAAAGCCTGGATATTCTGAACAACATAAAAGCTAGTAAGGGAAAAGAGAGACGAAAATGTAAAATGTGGGAAGCAATTATTTGTAAATGCTGACCTGCAGGATGGCTGGAGAAGGGAAGTGAACTTGATACCGCTGAAGAGTTAGTGTACAAAGATGGACTTCGTCCCCAGGGAAAAGTAAGCTCGCCTGGAGTGGAGTTCCCTAGCGTCGCCATCGTTCCCCCCCCCCCCCCACCCCAGAAAGTCCACAGATCTTAATATCATCCCCCATAGGAGTACACTAAAGAAAACAAGAGGATTGGTTTTCTTTCAACTAAGAGAAAAACAAAATTGGATTTCAGTTGTCTGCTGGGGCTAGAAAGGAGGTTAGTCTGCAGGTGCCTGAAGAACTGGGTGTTGAGGGGGTAGAGACTAGCTTACCTGTCTGCGCTGTGGGTCAGGAGTGGGTGAAGAACCCTGCTCGGGATTGCTTGTTACGGAAAAGAAGGGCCGGGGTTCCGAATGACCCTAGACAAACAGGCTGGGCTGAAAAACTGGGGGTGCTGTCTGCCCCTCCACCAGCCTCCCTCCCACCGGTACCTAAGCCTAGAGAGCTACTGAAAGTTACAAATTGCTTCCATTATTAGCTCATCCCGGGCGGCCTGGTCATTGGCCAGCCCAAGAGCACGTGGTGTCTTGTACCAATAGATCGAATTTCTAGTTGCAATTCTCAGTCTGTCCCCCGGCTCTGGGGAAGGGGGGGGGCAGTAGCACAGGGGTGGGGTGGGGCTAAGGGGACCCTCATCCTCCCTTTCCGACAAGTGGAGGTCCTGAGCGCTGCCCCAGAAAGGGTGGAGGGAACGTTGTGGGTTGGAACACACACACCCGTGGGGGGCAGAAACTGGAGGACGCTACGGACATCGCCAGCGTCCAGAGCTCTGTCCCTCCTTTCAGCTGCACCATGTTCACCACCCTTGCGTTAGCACCCTGTGGGCCCAGAGCTGTCCCAGGGCTAAAAGACAAGGCGCTCTCGGATGCTCGGCAGTCGCCTCTTCCTTTTTACTTTCGGGACGGGCACAGGCTCCCGCTTCCCCCAGCCGCTTTAGATCAGGCGCCAGGGCCCTCTCGGGCATCTCAACCCCGCCCCCAGGGTCAAATGTGCGGCTCTCCTGGAACTCCTCTGAAAAAGGGACAAACTTTTGAGTGGACGGAAATCTTGAGGACCCTGTCTGAAGCAGGTGAGCGGGACGGGAGCGCGAAGCTTCAGTCTGGAAATCTGCGGCTCCTCTTTCTCTCTCCTCTTTCTTCATCCCTCTTGCTTTGCTTTCTTCGCTGACGCTGACAACTCTGACCTGCCCGCCTTTGCCCTCCAAGGGACCTGGGCTGGGGGTGGGCAGTCCTCAGTCTTGGGCTTAGGGCATCTTTTCCCTCCTGAGTTTGGGTGCTAGGGTAGCAGGTGGTGGGGGTGGGAGGGGTAGGGAGACTTCTGAGACTGGGAAAGAAAGGAAAATTTAGGGGCAGAGAGACCCAGCGTCCGCAGGGCATTCTTTTTTACCAAATGCAACTTGGAGGAACTTCAAAAAAGTTTTTTTTGTTTGTTTGTTTTTGTTTTTCCCCAAGGGAAGTAGAGTTGGGGTTTGAGATTGTAGGTGAAAGAAGTCCACCCCCACCCCCACCCCCCGCCAGAAGCAAAGAAGTGTCGCTGGTTCCGGGGACTAGACTAAGTACACCTGAAGAGCCATGTAGCCCCAAACCGCTCACCTCAATGAGCCCGTAGGACCCTTGGAGATCCCCAGGAACAGGTCCACAGGGAGGGAGAGGAGCCAGAGATGCCTGAAAGGGGCTGTGCTGGAATGCTGGTATATGGCACAGCCTTCCTGGGATCTGCTGCTGATTTTAAGTCAGGAGTAGTAAACAACTCCCACACCTCTACTACTGTTTACAATCTAAAATGCTCTCAAGGGAGTTTGCAACTCTTCCCACTCCCACGCAAACCACAACCCTCCCACCTTCTCCAGGGCCCCACGGAGGCCAAGGAAAAAAGCCCCCCCCACACACACACTGCTTTGGGGCTAACTGCCCCTCCTCAAGGAAGATACCTAGGGGAAAAGATAAGGAGGTTTTCAAAGAGAGGTTCTTAAAAGAAATTAAAAGCAGAGGTCAGGCTCAGGGAGGAAGTTGGAGAGGGTAGGAAAGGAAGCAGGAGCAGAGTGCAGGCCGGGCAGGTGCCTGACTGGTGCCCACCTGACAGAGGTGTTTGAGGTCAGGTCCTTCTGAGAACTGGAAGTTGGAGGAACCAAACTGAAGGCAAATGTAAAACAAAAACAAAAATTGCATTTGGATCGTTTTTTGAAAGGGTGCTGAGTCCCACTTTGAGCCACTTTTGAGTTTTTGGTGTGGCTGGCGCTAGGCCCCATTTAGCCTGGAGCATATGTGGAGGAGGGGGAGCTTTGTTTTCAGTACTCTAGAGAATTTCTTGCCAAGCACCAGCAGCTGCCCAAAGTCCCAGGGAACTGGGTTGTCCCAGATGACCCAGTTATAACAGCCACACTGCCTAGAATAAGTTTGTCACGCCAAATCTGGACCTTTGATAGGAACCCTAAAGAGACAGGCACCAAAGCAGCGGTGCTCAAACAGAAGTGCAATGTGTTGGTCCGTGCCTGTAATCCTAGCACTCTGGAAAAAAAAAAAAAAGCTTTTCAGAGAGAAGCACAGGGTCATAGGCTTCCCCCTCCCCCTTCAATTAATCTGCTCCTTTTTGCTCCTCCTCCTCAGCACCCCCCCCCCAATCTGTGGGCTCATCTATCCTTTTCTTTTCGCATTTCCCTCATCCTCTTTCTTCTTAGGATTGATGGAGTGACACCAGCTTGGGACAGATTTCCTCAGCCTGTAGTGGGGACTGGCGGACCCCACCTACTCTGACATGTTAAGTAAAGGGACACCCAGGGTCCCAAACGGAGGGGAGTTGAAAAAGAGCAGTGTGAAGGATGCCAGACAGACCTTCCTCTGGGAAAGGCCCGCTAATGCCATCTGCACACTGCAGAGAGAAGACGTAGAAACAAAGGAAGACAGCAAGAAGTGCCAGGAAAATGCAGAACAACAAAGGGAAGAGACTGGAGGGCAGGAAAGATGTGCCTGCAGACGCCCAGTCAGAGGAAGGGACTCTGGGAGGCCAGGAAGGAGGGAGCACTGATAGAGGGCAGAACGCAGAGGCTATGGTTTATTTGGGTTTGTGTTTGTTTTGTTTTAAGATAAGGGGTAAAACAGAAAGGAGAGAGGGTGAGAAGAGAGAGAGAGAGAATTCATCCCCAATGTTTCTCACTGGTCTCACCCAGCCCAGGTAATGTCTTGCACAAGTGAGGTTAGGCCAAAGCCAGCCAGGAGACCAGCAGTACTCTGTGTTGACCCTGCTGCCAAGGGGTCTGGAAACCAGGCCACTCTGCTCTGGGCTCTGGGTGCTTAATCTCCGTGGCCCTGTAGTTCAATCACCTGTCAACAAAGCTCTCCACACTGCAGGTTATGCAACAATTTCGGCTTCCTAAATATGGACAGGGGAAAAGGGAGAGGAGAGAGGATCTTTGTTTTCTTCATTGGTAAGAAGAAAACAATCATGATTTTGTTGATGTTTTTCTAAGACAAAGATGCATTTTAAATCCTAGGCTGTCCTGGTACTTCCTATGTAGCACAGGGTGGTCTTGCACTCACAGCAGTCCTCCTGCCTCAGCCTTTTGAGTGCTGAAATTAGCATAAGCCACTGTACACTATTTGAAGAAAAAAAACCTTCTATCCTTAGCAAAAGGATACCCTTTGCTACCCCCTCCCCATCAAGTATCAAAAAACAAAACAAAAAACTACAAGGTTAAGAGGGTCCCTCACGCTAGGACAGGTGAGATTCATTTGAGAAGAATTTGGTCTGAGGTTTGTAAATCCTGGAAGATCAAAGAAGGAATTCTGTGTGAGGAAGAGAATAGGGACGGTCTCTATGACAAGCAAGTCTCAAGTGCATAGGGTAATTTACAGAACCCATACAAGAGATGAGTTGTTAAAATGATTTTAGACTCTGCCTGTAGAGGGATCCACTTGGTATATTTTAGTATATGTTGCCTGTTGGGCCTGTCCTGCATCTCCTATGCCCTGTCCATGGTGTACTGGTAGAAACTGTCCAGTTAGATTCAAATTTTAGTACTGGGAATCAAATCCAGCACCTCATCTATGCTAGGCAAGTGTTCTCCTACTGAAACTATACCTTTGCCCATGCCATGACTCCAGATGCTGTGTGTGTGTGTACATGACTCAGGTCCATCTGTGTGTCTGGGCATGTATGAATGGGACATTTCCCTAGCATTTGTGAGGTCCTGGGTCTGACTTTAGCACTAGGGTAAAAAAATAAATAAATAAATCCCCTTTGAGCCAGGCGGTGGTGGCGCACGCCTTTAATCCCAGCACTCGGGAGGCAGAGGCAGGCGGATCTCTGTGAGTTCGAGACCAGCCTGGTCTACAAGAGCTAGTTCCAGGACAGGCTCCAAAACCACAGAGAAACCCTGTCTCGAAAAAACAAAATAAATAAATAAATAAATAAATAAATCTCCTTTGTTTCTCCAAAATGGGATGGGACAGGTCATTGGGTCAGATCTCCCAAGAGCCATGCAACCCTGAGCGTAGACTGGGAACCCAGTCCAACAGCTAGCAAGGCAAAGCTAGTGCCACCTTGCTGGTACCCACCTCTGTCCAGCACTCCTTCCCTCTCATCCTCTCCCACCCTCTCCTCTCCTTCCTTCTCTTCCCCCCCTCCCCCTTTGTTCCTTTCTGGTGCTCTTTCCCCTTTTGTCTAGACCAAGCCAGGACTCTTGCTCCTTGTATCCCAGCAGCCTCTGCTCTGAGACCCTGAGGCTGGCTGGCACACACTCTGCCTCTGGAGTTCATAATGAGGATGCAAATACAGGGATTCAAAGAAGAAGCTGAGCTTTGCTAACCAGGGGCAGGGTACCAGTTTGCTCTCTGTATCAGCTATGATTTTGACCTTCCCATCCCCTAGACTCACTGTAGACAATTCTTCATTTTCATTTCTTTTTTGTTTTTTGTTTGTTTGTTTTTGAGACAGGGTTTTTCTGTAGCTTTGGAGCCTGTCCTGGAACTAGTTCTTGTAGACCAGGCTGGCCTCGAACTCACAGAGATCCGCCTGCCTCTGCCTCCCGAGTGCTGGGCCCCTTCATTTCCATTTCTATCCCATCCCTGTTCTTGGAACACAGGTGCTAGTGCTCTTGGGTGAAGGTCAGTGACACATATTAAAATCTCAAAATCTCCAAAACAGAAAGCATGTTTCCCTATTCTTGGTGCGTTTAGGGGTCTTATTTCCCTTGGGTGAAGAGGCTGTCGGATTCTGGCTCCTGAAAACCAGAACATGGATTGCCCCTATCAGACAGCACCCCTGCCCTGCCAGAATCCACATCTGCCGAGGAAAGAAAAGTGGCCCAATCCAGGTGACTGTGGAAAGGGCTGGACTATCTACCCACACCCATTTCTCTACTCCCTCCTGGCCCTGAAAAGAAGGAGAGAACCCAATGAACTTCAGAGGAGCCCGGATCTCGGCCTATGAAACAGACATGGGGAACAAAGCTTGCTGGCAAACAGCTCCTCCTCTGAGCTCCTTGCTGTTCTCAGTTTTGTGTGGTTTTCATTGCCCCCTCCCCAGGTTTGCAGACAGGATGGTGAATGTTTAACCCCACCCTCCAGTCTCTCTCCCTGTGCTCCCGGCAACCTCAAAGCTGGGGGGGGGGGGGGCAGCTTCCAGCCCTGCCAACAATCTGAGAAAATTCAAATTCTCTTCTAAGAAGGGCAGCCGCTTTCTTCTCTGTTCTCCCTGCGCACACTGATCTGTTGTGAGGGCACCTGGGTCAGAAGAGAGCGAAGACTGTTTTAATTGGTCTAGAATTAGCATTTCCTAACACCAAGGCCAGGATTTCCACACCCAGGAACAAGAGGTCTTTGCCCAGACCCATGCCTGTTCTGGGCAATGGTGTGCACATTTGCTAAGGTGGAGAACGAGGAGGGCAATGAACAGTTTTGTCCATTTTGCACCCAGTGCTTTAGCGGTCATGCTTAATGCTTTCTTTTGTACTCATCTCGGGCAAAGCATCGCCTCTACCTCAGTGTGTTGTGGACAGATAGACAAATAAACAAAAGGAAAAAAGGAAATTTGACTCAGTTCAGTTGGTTTTCATCCAGCCTTGAAGGTGTCAAATCTCAGGGCCTCTGTCTTCTCAGCTCTATTTCTGTGGCCCCAGCCGGATGAAAAGCTGGATGGCGTTAAGCCCTTCCCACCCTGGGAAAATGCACCGGGTTTGGTGCTTTCGTCAGTGAAATGAAGGGGGGTGTGGGATGGACGGAAAGGGGTCCTGGGTGCCGCGCATCTTTGTGGTGTACACTGTGTCACAGTGTGGTGTGGGTGTCTGATGTAGGGGTGATACGCTTTCTCCAAGCTGCTAAACATATCTGGAAGTTTATCTTGGTATAAGGTGGTGGCAAGAGTGCGCATATGCCAGCGGGTTGTAGAGCTGGAGAAATACCCAGTTCAGTCCGAGGTACCCCAGGTGCAGAGACCTGTGTGGGTGCAACTGCCCATGCGTGGAAGGGATATGGGTGTGGGGTCCTGAACATACATCTGCATATGTGACCCTCTATGTGCCAGCGTGTGTGTGCCACTGAATTATTACAAAATTACACTGACACTTACATAAAATCCATATCAGCCTCAGCCCTTCTTCCCCGACCTCTCGACCTCATGGGTGCCTAAGGAAAGAGCTGGCCGGGTCGCAGTCGCCCCTAGTCAATGAGTCTTCCTCCATTAGCATAGAACATGAATCTGCTGGCAGCTTGACAAATTATAACTAACAGCCAGAGTTTTGCCAACTGGCTGGCTTGGACGCTGTCTATTTATCATTGAAAATGGTAAATCATAAGAATCCAGATGACTTAATTATTCAAATCCACCCAGGACCCAGAGAAGCTGCAGTCCCGTCAATCTCAGCCCTGGGCTCAGGGAGGCTGACAGGGGCCACAATGCTGGCTTGGAACGAGGAGAGGGGAAAGCAGGTCTGTGTTGCCAGTGGGCAGGACTCCTCTCCTCCCTGCCTTCCTGCCCACCTTTCCTGAAGAGGCCACTGCCTCCCTAGGGCTCTCCCTGGGCCTCCCTGCCAGCCAGCCCTTCCCAGCCCCCCAGTACCTCTCCCGCCCTTTGTATGAATCTGGTAGTCTTGAGCAGGCTCAGACCTTTGTTTGAATTTCTTCTTTTCTTTTCACCATTCCCTTTCTCTTCCCTCCCCTTCCAGACAGACAGACACCCACTCTCCTGACCCTTTGTCTCCACTCCTTGGGATCCCCGGGTCCTCATATGTGGGCCCCCACCACATTTGTCATCTGTTCCTTCTTTAGCTTAGGGCTACAAGATAGCCCAACGTCACACGACTTTCCTGTGCTAGGCTTCTATACAGTGTACGGGATGGTGGGCAGGCCATCAGCTGTGCCTCTCTCATCCTTAAAGCAGGACTGTGCTCCCTTTACTGTCTGCACCAAAGCCTTGAACCTCAGCAGGAGACAACGTACACTGTAAAACCAACGCCCCAGGCTGCCTGCTGTACTTCTGGAGGCTCTGGTAGGAAATATGCTGTTCCTTCCGGTTCTGCACCCCAAGGAAAACTGTGTTCTCCAAGCCCTAGAGGGACTCGAGGGGGGTCTTTGTGTTCACCATTGCTGAAGTTCCCTCACACCAGAGTCACCCCAGGCTCTCTTGGACAGCACTGGACCATCGAGGGGCTGTCTGCAGATGCTTGTGGGTCTCGCCCAAAGCAATTATGACTCTGCCAGATTGTATGTTTGTGTGGGTGACACACACCTCTGTAGGCATGCTGCCAGGTCCTGCCTGGCGGTGAATATACCTGCACATATGCGTGTTTGCACATGTGTGGGCACACACTGCCGGAAAAGAGCTCTGTGCTTCAACAACAAATGACAATGTCCTCACCAACAGGACACCCGAGGGAACAACGCTTTTGCTCCATTCTGTTTTAAGACCTCATTGCTCTAATGAAATACTAAACCTGAATTTTTATAAAACTCAAACAGAGCTGCTTCTGCGGCTAAAAGAGTCCAGATTCCTCTTTCCTTCAGGGTGAAGTTAGGGTTGGTCAGGGATCTGGGGTGGGGGCTCCCATCAGAAGGGCACATCTAACAGACAGGAGCCCCATCCGCAGCACGGCAACACGGCATCCCACCTCCCCACGCCGCTGATATTTGACCAGGGCTATGGTGAGAAGAGAAACTTGGTGGAGAGGATCAAGACTCAAAAGTGGCCAAGCAGCTGCAAGGCAGGAGATCAATAGGAGAGACAGATTGCAAACAGGGTTCCCTCACTCTTTTTCCTGCTGGTTCAGCACTCAGGCCTTAGCCCTGGAGAGCAGGTGGGGGACAGAACCAAGCCCTGGCCTCTCTCTGCCCTTTTAACTCAAACAGCTTCCTAATCCCTGGGAGGAGGGTAAACAGCTTCAAGACCAGCCAGGATTTACCTTAGAAAGGTTTGGAGGTATGTTCCCTACCCTGTGTTACTCATTAGCCCAGAAAAGCCAGGCAATGTGGAGGATTCCTTTGTACAGGCCCTCCTGTGACTTCTGTGCCTTTGCCTCCTGCCTCTGGAGTGACACCGCCGTGGAGGTGGTGGAGGGATTCCCACCTTCTCTGCTCTCTGCTTCCTGAACCAGGGCAGGGGTGGGATGCTCCTCACCTCTGTTCTTCTCCACTGGAAGGCTGGTGGGCAGCTAGTGGGGAGTGAGACCAGCTCTGGAAATAAAAAAGCTCAATAAAAAAATTAATCATCTAATCAGAATCCACAAGGAAGTCCCTTGCCAGAGTTTCATGAACCGTCAGGGCTCTAAAGGCTAGGGATTAGGTCCCTTCAGCCTGCAATCCTGGGATTGCAGCTCATACAACCCGCAAAGCCTCATTGAACTTTCTGCCTTTTGGGGCCTCTTGGAGGTCACCCTTTCCTGGCCTCAGCCTAGTAACCCACCTAATCCACCTGAGACTCAAGCCCTACACAAGCTCTTATCAAAAGGACAGCACCCACCGCCCAAAGCAGACAAGAGTCCCTACTTGCCTCTGTCTCCCTGACCTACATTCTTTCTGCACTTTCTTTGAGACAGGCAAGCTCTAGAAGTTTCCACACCAATAGCTCTTCATTTAGGTTTGTTAAGACTCCCCTGCCCCCTCTTTTTGTTTATTGCTTTACAGAGACCCAGGCCGACTTCAAGCTATGGATCCTCTGCCTCATTCTCCCAAAAGCCAAGATTATAGGTGTGCACCACTGTGGCTAGCTCCTGTCTACTGTTGTGAAAAGTGCACTTTACATAATTTATGAAATAACAGATTCCCTCTTTTAAACCTTAGAGCTGATTTTTGTATGTAAATCGTATGTAGACAAATAAGGAATTAATCTGGGGCTGAGGAAGTAACTCAACCCAAGGACAAAGCATTTGCGAAGGTCTGGGTTTGAGCTTTAGCACCGTTAATAATTTTATTGTTCTTTTTGAGACAGGGCCCTGATTGGCCAAAAAATTGTTTGTAAATCAGGATGGCCGAGAATTCAACAGTGATCAGCCTGCTTCTACCTCCAGAGTGCTGAAGATTAAAGGTGTGTGCTAATAAATAAGTTTAAAGAAAAGACTCTTAGGTCTAGAGAGATGGCTCAGCGGTTAAGAGCACTCTGTTCTCACAGAGGACTCTGGTTTGGTTCCTAGCACCACAGTGTAGTTCAGAATCCTCCAGAACTCCAGTCTTCTCATCATCTGACACCTTCTTCTGACCTCCTTGGACGCCAGGCACATACATGGTGCACATGCACCAGGCACATACATACATGGTGCACAGGCACCAGGCACATACATGGTGCACAGGCACATGTGCAGGCAAAGCACTCAGACGCAAACATTAAACACATCTCAGACAAGAAAGGAATCCGAGCCCTGAACTAGAACCAGGCAACACCTTCCCAACCAAGCAAGTCCTCTGGAGAGTGGACAGAGCCAGTCCAGAGAGGGTGCAGTTGGACATGGCCGCAGTGCAAGTAAATGCCCCACCTTCCCTTGGGCCTGCCTTGTGGGCACAGTAATGGGGCTCTGTTCGCTCCTTCCTTTAGCAAAGGCAAACATGAATGTGCCTGTGAGAATGCCTTTCATCCCAGCACTCCGGAGGGAGAGGCAAATGGATCTTGGTGAGTTTGAGGCTAGCCTGGTCTACAAAGTGAGTTCCAGGATAGCCAGAGCTACACAGTGAAACCCCATCTCGAAAATCCAAAACTAAGAGAGAGACAGTCAGAGAGAGAGAGAGAGACAGAGACAGAGAAAGACAGAGACAGAGAGAGAGACACATACACACAGAGAGGGAGAGAGACAGAGAGAGAGAAACAGAGACACAGAGAGAGAGAGACAGAGAGAGACAGAGACAGAGAGAGAGAACTCACCCCTGTCCCTGTTGGAGGGAAGGGAGGCTGGCAGAGTATATTCTGTTACGACAGAACATAGAGAATATTTGTCAACAATCAGCATCTCTAAGCCAGCGCAGTGAGACAGCTGAGGGCTGGCCTTCAAAGCAATTATGGTAGGAGGATATGCACCTCTGTTGATAATAACATTTCTGCAATCTCATCTTTAAAAAATGTCCTTAGCCTTAACATAAAGCCAACCAACCACTTGAACGTATTGGCACAGGAGACCACTTCCTAAATAGAACCCCAGCAGGACAGACACTGAGAGAAACAATTAATAAATGGAACCTCTTGAAACTGAAAAGCTCTGTAAAGCAAAGGACATGATCAACAAGACAAAACGACAGCCTACAGAATGGGAAAAGATCTTCACTAACCCCACATCAGACAGAAGTCTGGTCTCCAAAATATACAAAGAACTCAAGAAATTGGTCATCAAAAAACCAAATAATCCCATTAAAAAAATGGAGTACAGACCTAAACAGAGAACTCTCAACAGAGGAATCTAAAATAGCTGAAAGACACTTAAGGAAATGTTTAACATCCTTAGTCATCAGAGATATGCAAATCAAAACAACTCTAAGATTCCATCTTACACCTGTAAGAATGGCCAAGATCAAAAACACTGATGAAAACTTATGCTGGAGAGGATGAGGGGTAA